ATTCAAATGCTTTTATTTTTGTTTTATTTTATTTTATTTATAAACTGCATGGATGTGATTGTGTCTGAATGTTCTGATTAGCAGGAGTAGATGTCTCACGTCATCACGCTGTAATTGTGAACGCGCACTTTCCGGCAATTTTTCTTTATGCGTTCACACATCGCAGCATTCCGGCGAATTACCGGTAATGTTACAACTTCTTTTTCCGGAAAATGGCCGGAATGAATTTACCAGTATATTAAAAAAGGACCTGTTCAAACATGATCCTTTTCCAGAAAATTGCCGATAATTTTCCGCAAAAGTCTGTATGTGTGGATGGGCTATTGGCTGCATGTTCTAGTCCTGTTTTCTAGTGAGCACATGGCTTGTGTTGTCTTTGTGTCATGTGCTCTCCTGTCTATTGTCTAGTCCCACAGCTGAATGAACCACCAATTTATCCAGCATTATGTTTTACGCAGCGGATGCCCTTCCAGCTGTACCCATAACTGGGAAACCCCTATACACTTCTATTCACACACATACTCTCGGACAATTTAGCTTACTCAATTCACATGTACCGCAGGTTTTTGGACTGTGGGGGAAACCGAACCCCCTGAGGAAACCCAATGCGAACACGGGGAGAACATGCGAATTCTACACAGAAATGCCAACTGACCCAGCCAAGACTTGAACCAGCAACCTTCTTGCCCTGAAGAGCGCTACCCACAGCGCCACCATGCTGCCTTACTTTTTTTTTTTTCGTAATACAAACCCCATATTATTTGCCGCACTTGAGTCCTAGCTCTTTTTCCCACCCACCAACCGTGACAGGAAGGTAGAAATGAAATATTTTACATCACAGTATTTAGGTACAGAAATTGAATAATCAAATATAACCTGACATTGTTTAGTCTTCATCGGTTGAATAATTCAATAAATACATCTTTATTAGACTTACAAACAGTACAATTGCTTGTGTCTGAATGCTTACACTGTCATTGGCCTTAAGAACACATGTAAATGATCACTTTTCACATTATAGTTAAACTCTTTAGTGAATCCAAAATTCTGGTTCTGAACTGTGGCTCCTAAAAAACTATAATCCAAACACATAAACTTAACATTGCATTTCATGCAATGTGACTATTGCACATTGCAATATTGATGTTGAAACTATATGTTGTGCTGCTCTAGTATATGTTACATTTTGGTAAAGGTATAGCTGCTTGTAACCTCACCCAAGGTGGAAAAGCTTCTAAAACGAGCTGTGCAGAACCACTTCATGCAATGCAGTGGAAAAGCACCTTATCATGCTAATCAGCCCACACTGTAAACCCTAATATGTTGTCTTTACTTAAACAATCAAGTAAAGTTAATTGAACAATACTTAAAATATTGCACTTTGGCCCTGTAACCGAAAAATATGAGTTCATTTAACTTATATACAATGAAAATGCATAAACTTAAGATTTCAAGTATAGTAAGCTTAAAATCACAATCCTTTGAAAAAAATGGGTCATTATTAATGTAGTCTTGACTGTGAAATTCTAATATGTGCAACCTTTTAGGGCAAGGTCTTTTTTTAATTAGAAAACAAGGCTTCATGCATAATTATTCACTATTCATTATTAATTATTGGAATAAATGGCTACTTATTTTCTTTTTAACATATTTTTCATAGCATATAATTACACACACACATAGAAACACACAGTGAACTGAACAATTTAAGTATAATCTACCAAACCGGCAAGTTAAATACCAAATAAATTGAGGCAACGAGTTTACTCAATTAATTTTGTTCAGTCAACTTATCAGGGTTTTCAGTGCATTGGGGACACATGGAGACATGATCTGAATATTACAGCACAAAGATATACCTTTGTATAACATTAATCTGACTAAATGTCTTGAGTTTTTTGTGCAAATGAAATGTGCCGCTATGTGTAGATGCTAATAATGTGTAGCCTTGGTGCTTTTGTGTTGAACCCCAAGCTACTGAACAAGAGTATATGCTGCTCTCTTATCAGCCGACTGAAGGCTGATCAAGAGGAATGTCTGAGGTGCAGTCAGCACAGTTTGGGTTGGTAACGGTTGCCAGGCAACACTGCTTCAGTCTGTAATAGTTGCCAGGCAGCACAGCTTCAGTTTGGCAACCACTGCTGCACAGCCAGAAATGCCTTTTCTCTCTCTCTGCTTGCATCCCATTGGCTGAAAAGTGCCAAGCCCAAAATAGTGAATGAATCCTTTTTTTTTGCTGGCATTTGGCCTCAAACTCCTTGAAGGATGTAATTAGTAGACCCTAAATTCTGGTATCATTATCTTTCTTTATTCGTCTGTTTCCGTCTGCTTTTAAAGAAGTCTGAAAGACTGTAACTAAATCACTGTTCCTCATTTTAGAGAGGATGTGAGTTATAAAGGAAGTTGATTTTTCTTCTGCAAGCATGTCTGTTGTCATGGCAACAGCATGGTAATGGCAGCCCAGATCTGAAGTTGTAATAGAGTGCATTAGTGCCTGTCTCAGGAGAACTACTACGTTATGTCATTTACAGTGCTTCATAGGGAGGCAGTATCAATATTTCCATACGCACAAGATTCTTGCTTGGTATCGATACCTATAAAATATCAATATTAAAAGGATGTAAATACTAAACGTGGGTTTCTGTGAATACTCACAATTTATGTTAGTATTTTAGTTTAATCATATTTTTGCAATAATTAAATTTCTTAATAATTATGATATAAAATATTTGTGTAAAGTAATATTTTTAAATAACTTGTTCTCAATTCTGTTGTTGCTAATGCTCATTATGTCGTCAATGGAATTTGCTTTTAACTGGTCTTATGTAAAAAAAGAAACAATGTTTTAAAAGTTGTATACAAACAGATGGCATCAGCAAAAGCATATACAGCTGACTGACAACTTCTTCATTCACAACCATGGCCTATATACAGACTTTTAATATTCAGTCAGCCTGTTCAAGAGCTTTCGTTTCCCCCCTGTCATGTCTTTAAAGTATGACAATCTACTTTACCCTAGTATTTTCAATGGAGTTTCTGCATTAGCCTGCTGCTACTAATGGCACTTGCATTTACACGTTTTATTCTTGAACAACTAAATGAATGCTTAAGTCTATCTACTGATTGTATTTTAATTACATTACACCATCAATGCTGTAAAAAGAACCGTATAAAATTAATAAATAGTCAAATTAAGCTTTCACCAGAAGTTTATCGTTTGCTCAGAACACTAGCTGTGCACATTTATGGTTTTAAAAATGTTTACTTATAAAGAAAAGGAAGGGAGTTTTTATTTGCGCAAAACTACTTATTTTAGTCTGAGTTTGAGACGGATGTCCATTTGGGGAATGATACATTGTAGACTGAGGTGTTTGTTTCTGTGCAATTCAAAATGAAGTCAAAGCAAAATCAGCCACTGAGATTATTTGGAAAATGGTAATTTGACTACTAATTAAATCAGTGTCTTTTAGCAAATCAGTTGAGTGATTCAGCAAGTCACTTGGTTGCTGTCGACTGCCATAATGATGTAACCAGCAGAAAGTGTCACAAAAGACCCCAGATTGACAGTGTGTCTGAAACGTGCGCAGCAATTCAAGCAAAACCAGCTCTTAGTTCAGCTGAACAGCGTATAACTGTTGTTTAATTAATAGCATGTAAACACAAACGTACAAGATCAGTAAATTTACGTTTCCCTCTTCATACAAAAAAATTAAAATACTTAAATACGATTGATTGGAGGAGCGGCGTGGTGGCGCAGTATCGATGTCGCCTCACAGCAAGAAGGACGCTGATTCGAGTCCCGGCTGGGTTAGTTGCTGTTTCTGTGTGGAGTTTGCATCAGTGTTGGCGTGGGTTTCTGTGGGTGCTCTGGTTTCCCCCACAAGTCCAAATACATGCGCTATAGGTGAATTGGATTAACTCAATTGTTTGTAGTGTATGTGTGTGAATGAGAGTGTATGGGTGTTTCCCAGTATTGGGTTGCAGATGGAAGGACATCCGCTGCGTAAAACGTAAGCTGGATAAGTTGGCGGTTCATTCTGCTGTGGCGACCTCTGATTAATAAAGGGAAAGAGCCGAAAAGAAAATGAATGAATGAATGACTGATGGGGCCTCATAACTCATGTATTCAGGTCATTTTACTGCAGGTATCTGTAATGAGGCCGGTGGCTCCCTGCCATTGGAAAGGAGCTGGAGAACAATTTTATTTAATAGATAAATATAGAACAAATAGGTGGTAAGCTGGTGGCAGTCCTTCAGGGTGACTACTGCTGAACTGAAAGCATAACAAAACACAAGCTTCAGGCCTGGTTCTCTTTCGTCTACCACTGCTACCTCTTCTCCTGTTAAGGTCATCTATATGCTTAAAGTTCATCACCTTTCACTTAAACTGTACAACTGCAGGTTAACTATATTTATATACAATAACCTTAACTGATAGCGTTATTTGTAATTAGTTAATTAGTTTAAGTTATTATTAATTAATAAAGTTATAGTAACATACGACTTCTGATTTTGATTGTAATGCAATAATTAGCACCTTTTGAATTGCTGCTTTGAAACATAAATTATTGTGAAAAGCGCTCTAAAAATAAATAAACTTGAATTGAATAAGGTCAAGAACGTCTTCGTGAGACTTGAGACAGGTGGCTCACACAGAGGTCACACAGTAGTTACCACTCATGCCACGGGCCTCGGTTTGCTCTCATGGCTCTGTGCCCTGCCTGTGTCATATCAGCACTGCATCTGACTTCAATGTACTGCTTGGATAAATCAAGAATCTTCCTCCTATTCGTTTTTTCTCTTGCATTCTTGTTTCTCTGCCGCTCTGTCGATGTCTGATAAGGTGTAGCTCCTCAAAAAGATGAGACTAATCAAGTAACTGGCTTCCTGGTGTTTGGATCAATGTATGATCAATATATAATTCAGTTGGAAAACAAAAATCTGTAAAAAGTATCCACCTTATTATTTTATTGACTTTGATTTCTCCTTCTCTTCCGCAGACTTGTCGAAAAACCGTTTTTGTGAAATTCCCCCAGAAGTTTGTATGTTTGCACCACTGGAGTCATTAAACCTCTACCACAACTGCATAAAGACCATTCCAGAGGCCATTGTCAACCTACAGATGCTCACTTACTTGAACATCAGGTAATCACACACACACACACCGTGATGCCTTTGTCTGTTAGTTTAATCAATCAGCTCATTAAATGTTCTCTATTTTGAAGACTTTATTGGTATCTGGCTTTTGTGCTATACATTGTTGTTTGTTCGTTATTAGTATTATTAGTACTGTACAATTATTAAGTTTTATTACAAATTAAACATCAGTTAAACGTCAAGCCTGAAATTATTCATACCCCTGGTAAATTCTGACTAAATTATTTTGTTTAAATGTAAATAAAAGCTGAGAAATATTTTTTTTTCTCCATTTTTTTGCCCCTTTTACATCATCTTACTATCTTTTGGAAGAAGTCCAAAAGATGTAATTTCATAATGGTCAAAAGTGTCAGCGACTACGTTTACATGGATATCAGCAATCGAATTATTCACCTTAATCTAAATAAGACAATAATATGATGAAGGTGTTGCTTTTTAAATGTTCCCTTCATGATCACATTTTACATGTTATAGCACATAATTCAATAAATGTTATTGCTTCTCCACACTATCCATGTTTACTCTGGAGTTTCATGTAATTTTGGGTGTTTTGATTTTTAGTTTTTTGATGTAACTGCAGCTCGGCAGTTTCACTTTCATTCAGAAACCTTTCATGCATGTCCCCTGTGATTGAATTGCTGGAAGAGTGTTGTTTCAATGGAATTTGATTCGGCATGCTGTTTGAGGAAAAAAAAAAATCTCTTCATTTTGCGATGGAGGTGTCTGGGGTCCTTTGCTGACTCGGTAGGTGCAGAGAATAGTGTCAAACAGCCGTTTGTGTATGGAATATCCTGTCACAAAATGTATCAAACATCCTACACGATGGTAATAATGGTAGTACTGAACTTCAATAATGCGACTAAAATTGGCATACTCCACATGTCTTAAATCCATTTCTGTTTACTTCGATTACGACTTTAGTCGGATTAAGGTAATCAAAAATCGCTGTTTACAAGGTAGACTCTTAATCAGTGTATTGCCTTAATTGTATTAAAACCTGATTATTGCTGTCCATGTAAACATACGCAATGTAAAAAGTGTCATTTATGTAAAACAGATCTTGCCAATAGGTGTGTATAAAGCTTTTGCTTTTCGATAATTGACTTCGACATTTCTTTTTAAAATATTTAAAAAAAAACCTTTGCTCAAAGAAAATAACTGTATGAGGTTGAATTGACTTTTGCCTCTTGTTGTTGGTGTTACCTCATTAGCGAAAGCAAAAGATGCTAAATAGTATTTACTTAAGGCTATTGAAGCTAAACCTTGTATTTTGTTGTTTTCAGTCGAAATCAGCTTTCTGTTCTCCCCAAGTTTCTCTTCAATCTTCCTCTGAAAGTGCTGGTGGTCAGCAACAATAAACTCCCTTCTGTTCCTGAGGAGATCGGAAAGGCCAAAGACCTCATGGAACTGGTCAGTATGTAAATAAAGATGTACATGTTATATTAATATGCATCAGTCTGTGATGTTTGTATACATACAGTGCATGCATTGTCTCTGTTTAGGACATCAGCTGTAATGAGATCCAGGTGCTTCCTGCTCAGATGGGGAAACTCCTCGCGTTACGAGAGCTTAACATACGGAGAAACTGTCTACAAGTGTTACCAGATGGTACTGACACATGTCATTGACATGTCACCAGAAGCATGAATCAAATAAAACATACAGTAGCTTTGCTGTATATAAACTTGGGGAATCTAGTTATGCTGCTAGCACTTGGTTAGCAAAGAATTTCTTATATATATATTTTCTTTTTAACACAGAACTGTCCGATCTGCCATTGATCAGGCTGGATTTTTCTTGTAATAAGATCACAGAGATTCCCATTTCTTACCGCAAACTCAAGCAGTTACAGCACATCGCACTCGACAACAACCCCATGCAGTCTCCTCCTGCTCAGGTGAGTCTGTGTTCATCCTTCCAGTGCCGTATGCTTTCTGAAATATAGAAAAGGTAAACACAATTACAGGATCCACTTATGAAAATGGAATTGGCTGATTAATGCAGATTTTGGATGAATATATTAACGTTCTGCAGTGCTGTAAATCTAACCAAATTGAAATCTAAATTAGTAGTGAATATTAATCCACAAAAGCACATGCTATTTTGTTAACTCTATGCATCAATCATGTGTGACAGTTGTGCAGTTTCAGTCTGTTGCCTTACTATGAGACATGAACACATCACTTTATTTCAGATCTGCACTGAGAGCCACTTACAAGCATTTGACTGTTTTTATCATTATGTGCACAGAGGAGCTCAAACCTGTCAAAATAGAGGTTCTGTGTAAAGTGAAGTAATTCTGCATCTGTTTCAAAGTAGATTATACTTCTCTCAGTTCAATAATAATAAAACTATTATTAATAATAAGGAATTTTAAGGAACAACTACACTGTTGTTGTTCAAATGTTTAATTTTAACAGAATTTTTTTCTAATAAATTTAAACATTTTAATAAGGTTTTACTGTAGCTAAACTCTTATTAAATGTTTTAACAGAATTACTTAATGATTTCAATCATTTGGACATGCTTTTTGGATTACATAGTTTAAATTTAACCTATACAATTGATTTTTAAAAGAATAAACAAAAAACAGAATCTAGACATGAAAATGGAAAAAAACAATTGGAAAAAGAATATGTATTTTATGTAAATCTGCTCTTCTTTTGTGTGAATCTTATTGCTTCATTGTCCACTGACGCTGTTGATCATTTCTTTTGCTTTGGCGCCATCTAGTGTCTGACAATGTGAAATCCACAAAACATCTAGCATATTGATTCAATGATAATCTGGAGTTTTAAAATTGTTATTTATATCTCACCTAGCAACATGAGCCAGGAAAGCCCCTCAACCTAATTATAATTCAAGCAAACAGAAAACAAATGAACAAATAGAAAAATGGCAAGTCAAGTAAATTGCAGTGTATAAATTTTGTCTGAGAAACAGCATGAGACATCATTGGTACCATGAGGGCCAGATTTATGTGTAGCTACATGCTTACATGCCTTTTATTTCGCTGTCATGCTTAAATTGTAATATACTGTATGTACTTAAGCTCAGTGGTAGGCAAGCTGATTTGTGTCCCGGCTGGGCCAGTTGACATTTCTGTGTGGAGTTCAAAGTCCAAAGTGGCTTTGCGGCTGGAAGGGAATCTGCTGCTTAAAACATATGCCAGAATATTTGACTGTGGCGACCTCTGATAAATAATGGACTAAGCTGAAGGAAATTAACTTATGTACTCAACCCTCTACCGCACGCATTATGATAAATCTATAAAAAAAACTTGACTGTTTTTCTTTTCTTAAAATGGCTTAACTTGTAGTGCTGTAAATTTTTTTTTGGAAAAATCATTTTCTTTATAATAAATTACAAAAATACTTTATGAAATGTTGGCAACAACGTCTAACAGTGGATCTAACTTAGAAATTTCTAATGTAGGACTTATAATTAATAATTTTGTTGTTTGAAATGATTTAATTGGTGTTGGGTGACGCAGTGGCACAGTAGCTAGTGCTGTCGCCTCACAGCAAGAAGGTTGCTGGTTCGAGCCTCGGCTGGGCCAGTTGGCATTTCTGTGTGGAGTTTGCATATTCTCCCTGCATTCGCGTGGGTTTCCTCTGGGTGCTCCGGTTTCCCCTACAGTCCAAAGACATGTGGTACAGGTGAATTGGGTAGGCTAAATTGTCCGTATTGTATGAGTGTGAATGAGTGAGTGTGTGGATGTTTCCCAGAGATAGGTTGTGGCTGGAAGGGCATCTGCTGCGTAAAAATGTGCTGGATAAGTTAGCGGTTCATTCCGCTGTGGCGACCCTGGATTAATAAAGGGACTAAGCCGAAAAGAAAATGAATGAATGAAGGAATAATTGGTATTATAAGCTTTAACACAAAACTAAATGACACTTTATTTATACTTTCTAACAATAGATATTCCAACAGCTTTCATTCATTCCATTCTTTTTTTGCTGAATTTTTTAAAAACAAACCAAATATTGTATTATCATGTTTACAACATACAGTAAATATAAATATTTTCTCCAGTAAATATTTTAACAAATAAATAACAAGTCTAATATATCTAGATGCATCAGAATAATGTAGCTACTAGCTAACAATATTTATATATTATATGTATATACTATACTACACCTGTCTTGTCTGCCTCTGAGCTAACTTACCTGAACTGTCTCTATTAAATGTCCCGTCTGCATCATTCTCATGGTCACTAAAACCCATCTCATCTTCACTTTCATCTGCAGGAAGAGCCAGTTCTGTCTTTTTCTTCTTTCACTTACCATAGAACATGCTGGTGCTCGCTAATACACTGTTCCCTGTATTCATATCAGTTCAAAAGTAGTATTGCCATTAAAACTAGATTTTATCCACATGCAAATGCCATTAACAGATGACTAATCAACATTATACTACTAGCTTTCATGTTGTTATTGTTATATTGTTACAACTTCAGTTCACAGCTGACCTTGCTAGCTAGCTAACCCATTGCAATATTGTATGTTTCACCGTTGCACAGTGTTGCCATTTGGCAACATATACATTTGATCCATTTACAAAAAACTAATTTGATAAAAAAAAAGGTGTGAATATGTAATCAGAACTCACTGATCCTTTGTTTTTATTGACGTTTACATATGCATTCAGCGACTACTCACTATAAACGTCAGAAATCGCGCTACAGAAAAATACTGCACGTCATGTGACCTAACCAAAGCACATCATTGGCTAAACTAAGGTCATCTCTTTCCAACAAACAAAAAAAAATAATAATGTTGGCCTTAAGAAACATAAGTATCATATTACCATATGGTTACACAGTGCAGTAGAGGGTTAAGGTTAAAATCTATTTTGCTTATGTCACAAATAAAGCTTAATTCAATGTGCTTTCAAAAATAAATTGTTTAAGTATGACTGCACAATATATTGATCTAAATTCAGTATTGCAGCAGTTTGTTGTGGTCATCGAAAATCACAAAGGCTGAGTTTAATTACAGTGCATCCAGTTCCTTGGTTTTAAGCACTTGAATGCATTTACATTGAATTTTTTTCTGCATGCACAATAAATGCGTGAAAAGTAATAGGTAATGTACATCCAGCCAGTAATTCTTGCAGGATAAAACCTGACAGGCTTATTAGATAGCGCTTACATACGACTAAAGGGATTTATTTTGCAAAAACAACCATCTAGATCAGAGATGCCCAAAGCAGGGCCTGTGGGCTAAAGTTGGCCTTTTGTAACCTCTGATTTGGCCTATCATCCCATCATGGAAGAGGGTAAAAATTATGAAGAGAGTTGGTGTGATTTACTGCTGAGCTACAGAAAAAGCTAATTAAAATGAAATGTTTCGATTAAATGTTGTAAATGAATCCGATTTATTAAAAATGTAAATACAGTTACTTGACGGATAGAGGACTATGCAGAAGACATCATCGAGCAAATCAAGGCAAAAACTACTGTAACTCAAATCTGTTATAAATGAGATGTATTAACTTCATTATAAAATGTAAAAAAACAACAACAACATTATACTGTATTAGTTGATATAAAGCAATGTTTTGTAGTTATATTCAAATTTTATTAAATAAATTTGGAAATTACCTAGTTCAATTATATTTACATCTGGCCCACTAGCCTTAATCAAGTTTGGTTTTGGTCTTTCATAGAGAAAAGTTTGGGCACACCTGATCTAGATGGACATTATCCTGCTTAATACACCACTAATTGCCTCAAAATTAAACTGTTAGAAACAAAACATTAATCTGAGCTGTAACAGCATTTAAGTAGCTTTTTAACTAAATGTTAAGCTTCTTACCTGAACCGCTGCAGTCTACACTAACCAAATATTTATTATTACCCACTTGCAAAATAGTGTCAACCAGTAAAAACAGCAGTGGGACAAATAAGCAATATTTACTTCCTTACAAACACTCATTGTGCAATTCTGAGTGTTTTTCACACAGGTAAGTGGGCTGGACTAACCATCTGTAGGAATACTCTTCTTTGTAAATGCACACCATAGACTTTCTTTTAAACTTGTTTTACAAAGATTCAATAAGGTGACATAAATGTGTATTTATTATTGGAGTACATTGAAGTCACGGTTTGGTACGCATCTCGGTTTAGGGTTTTAGGCAAGGGCTGTGAGCCTCTCCTTATAGTACAAGGTTATAATGACAACAGTTTTTTGGGGGGGCAACATACAGTATAGATAACAGAGATTAGGTGCTTTTTTAAAAACCTTTCTTGAGTGCTCCTACATTGTTGCAATGCTGTGGACTTGTTTTGCCTAAATTCTGTGACTTGCACATCTGGACTGACTTCATCGTCTGAGTTTCCAGTGTTCATATTGATGTTTATTTATGTAGCACCGAGTTCTTGCGAGACAGGACATTTTGTTCCTCTGTATTACACATATAGGCCTGTCACAATAATCAGTATACTGACTTCTCGCACAACACATGGACATTACCTCAATCATTTTTGGTGATATTTCCCGGACATTAAAAAATAATTCTAGCAACATTTTAGCTGATTGCACAATCTCTCTGTCTCTATTGGAGGTGTCAGTGTCAGTATGGTTAAAAACACTATAGTATTTACTATAAATTACTATAGTATATTTTCATGTGGGTGTCTGTCAAGTGAAAATAGATAGGTAGCAGATTTCTCAGCCTCTGTTAATTTTTACCCTGCACTTTTTTGTTAACAGTTCTTATTATTTGCGTCTGCTAAATGACAAAATGTAAATGTCATTTAGTTATTTAATTATTATTTTTATTATTATTATTTATTTAGGACATGCATTTTCACATTCTAATTATTCAATTATTAAAATGACTATAAATAAATTAAATACTCTTAAGAATAAAATATTATGTGTTCTTTGGAAGACTGTACTTGCATTGTGATAAATATGTTGAGTTTGCACGTTCTCCCCATGTTCGCGTGGGTTTCCTCTGGTTTTCCCCAAAGACATGCGGTATAAGTGAACTGAAGAAAACAAAACTGGCTGTAGTCTGTGTGTAAATGAGAGAGTCAACTTCAGTATTTAAGTTTACTAAACTTAAAACATGTTCATTACATTTAAATTATGAAGTCCTATCAACATCATTCTTCATTACAACTTTTCTGTTTAAGTTAATTGACTTTAGACTAGGCTGTCACAGTGGCACAGTGGGTAGCAAGATTGTCTCACAGCAAGAAGGTTGCTGGTTCGAGCCTTGGCTGGGTTAGTTGACGTTTCTGTGCGGAGTTCCGGTTACCCCCCATAGTCCAAAGACATGCGCTATAGGTGAATTGGGTAAGCTAAAATTGTCCGTAGTGCATGTGAGTGATTGAGTGTGTATGGGTGTTTCCCAGTGATGGGTCGAGGCTAAAAGGGCGTCTGCTATGTAAAACATATGCTCGCTAAGTTGGCGGTTCATTCCGCTGTGGCGCCCTCAGATTAATAAAGAATCTAAGCTGTAAAGCAAATGAACGAATGAATGACTTTAGACTACATCCATTACACTTGTATTGTCAAGTCTTGTCAACTTTAACCTGAGTTAAGACAACTTTGCTATTTAAGTGATTTAAGTAATATTTAAGTGATAATTTTAAACTTTAAATTTTAAGGCCGCACAAACACTTTTCAAACAAACTAACAATTTATTTTCAGTTTCAGTCATGTTTATTTCCCTTCATGTCTTTCTGTAGAAAAGCAGTTACCAAACCACATTATCATGGTGGAATACAATCAATTTAGTTGACCGTTTGATATTCCTGTAAGGAGCCTGTGAACATCACACTGTGACCCTTGAGTTCCCCAGAAAGCATTTTTATTTTGGCTCAGTCACATGTTAGTATACCTGACTGTGGGCTCAAATGATTATTATTATTTTTTTGGCACCTACTGTAGTGATGTAGTTCTAGTTATCAACCCATCATATTCTGAATGTTCAGATTTAATCTCACTGTCCTTCACGTTTGAGAAGACAGTAGTTTAGATGCTAAATGTTCTTCCTTTTCCTTGTTTCTCAGAAAAATGTTCTGAGGTAAACAATTGCGTAAATAACTTTTTTTGAGCTAAAGTTCAATCAAAAGGATTTGTTTGTCTTCCAGCAACAAGACGTTTCAGAGAACATCCAGTCCCTTGACTGAGATTAACCTCATTTCAGATTTTGGAATGTCCCTCAGTCTATGTATAGTCTTTCCTTGGAAATGCAGATTGGCAATTTGCCCTAAGAGAAAGTCAAGTGACTTTGTTGATTTTGTCGTTTTATTACTGTACATATTTTGAAAATACAAGCTGAACAGGTTTCTGAGAAATAAATCCGCTTTTACTAAAGTTGTTGCATTGTACTGAATCTGAACAGTGATTTAAGAATGGTTTCTGGTTCAAACGTTTGGAGTTTTGGAGTTTAAATGTTATGTTAAAATGTTATGTTCGCTAAACAAAAATATAATTATTTAATATATTTAGTTAAATGTAAACATTTTTTAAATATGTTTAATCTAAGGCATGCCTGTGACGGAAAAGCAGAATTTTTAGCATCATTTGCACCAGTCTTCAGCGTCACATGATCCTTCAGAAATTATTGTAATATGCAGATTAGCTTCTTAAAAATATTATTTACCATTATTGGAAATTTAGAATATTTTTGTAAAAATGCATACAGCAGGGCTGCGCCCGGTCAGTACCTGGATGGGAGACCACATAGGAAAGCTAGGTTGCTGCTGGAAGTGGTGTTAGTGAGACCAGCAGGGTTTGTGAGGGTCCTAATGCCCCTGTACAGTGAGCGATGTATTTCGTACGAGGCATTAAACTGAGGTCCTGACTCTCTGTGCTTGCTAAAAATTGTTCTTCATAAAAGAATAAAGTCAAATTTGCCCACTGGCCTCCTAACCATCCCCATATCTTATTTTTACTTTAGCTTCATCACTGTGTCTCCTTTCCACCAATCAGCTGGCGTGTGGTGAGCAGTCTAGCGCAATATGGCTGCTAGGTGGATGATGCACACTGGTGGAGATTCCCCCAATGTATAAAGAACTTTGAGTGTCCAGAAAAGCAGTATATAAATGTAAAGAATTATTATTATTATATTTAATAATACTCTATAAAGGTCTGAGTAATTTTTTTTCAGATTTCAAATAAAAAAGATTGTTATTTGTGTGTTTTCTTTATTACAGAAATGCTCTGTTTTAAAAACTCATTTTTGAGGTGCAGCTGATCACAGAATGTTGGAACAGATCTTTTAATCCCAGTTTCTTTGCAAATCCTGTTCTGTGGCCATGTTTTTACACGTTATTATGGAGACATAATATGCTCCCATCAATCAATTCAGTGGGCGGGACAAACTGCACTCCTATGTCATGTGGTAATGTGGTGGGCCTCAAAATCGCTGGGATATTTATCCTATTTTAATGTCAGGAAATTTTAAATAAGAGACTTGATGTGTTTTTATCACACCAATATGAATGTGGACACACTATACCTACACAAAGTTCTGTCTAAACAGCTTACAAAAGTAAATTTTGCATCATAGGTGCACTTTAATTTTTTTTATTACATTTGTTCAGAATAACATTTAATTTTTTTTTCGTGTAAAAATCAGGGTTATCCTATCAAACACTGTAATTTTGTTGTTTAAATTAAAAAATAAATATGTCTTAAAACATGATGTTTGTTTAGTTATTTTATGCAAATATATTGCTTTCAATGACAGTATGTTTAGTTTTACACATGGTAAGAAATAGGGCTGCACAATATATTGTTTTAGCATTGATATCCTAATGTGTGTGTGTGTGTGTCCATAATAATCACATTGCAGGATATGCAATGATGAGTGAGGAATATAATTGATCAGCAACAACAGCTGAGAATACATTAGATTCATTCACGAGTCAATTGCAAAGTATAACCCTAACAGAGGGAAACTTTACCATTTACATGTGTTTTAAAGGCATTTTAAGAGACTGTAAAGCTCTCATATGTTCATGATTCATACCCTTATAAAATCAGCCCCAATCGATCCCAATTAATGATTTCTTTCCAAATAGAGCTATACCACAATATATATTGCACAAAATCAAAATATCTCAATGTCAGATTTTTCCAATGTCGTGCAGCCCTAGTAAGAAACATCAGTAGTTAACAGAATTAAATAAATAATTGCATTTGGCTCAAACACACAACCATAAATTACAAATCCAGAGAAGGTGAATTGTTCAAGTGGTCTCTTAAATCGTTCCACTCCTGTATTTCTTTGACATCTCTTTGATAAATAGAATTCAGTAAAAAAAAAAAAAAGAGACAGCGGTTTTGTGACATCTCATCTTTTGTCAGTTTGTTAATTAATCTTTTTTGCTTTCAGATCTGCCTGAAGGGAAAGATCCACATCTTCAAGTATCTGAACCTGCAGGCATGTCGTCTGGATAAAAAGCCTGACACACTTGACCTGCCTTCTCTGGGAAAACGCTGTTTACCTCAGCAGCTGACTGACAGGTCCGTACAGCCTTTTGCCATCTATTTATTGCGATTTCATCTACCAACAACACCAATTTATAGCCCCAATGAATCATGTCATAAACACGTATTTCACAGAAATTCACAGAAACACTTTTTTAATCTTCCATTTTTTAATGTCACTGAAACCTTATCTACTTTTATCTATAATTCGTTGTTTCTGTTTATAGCTACATCATATTTTACATCATATATATGTTTGATTGGGAGCAATGTATAGCAGATGCTGACACGAGCCGGGTTACCATCCTCATTTGAAGCAAATCTTTTTATAGTTCGCCAAAAAAGAAAAAATCTCAAATTTGAATGAGGTGTTTTTTTTCCCCCCAACGAGTTGTTAGAGCAGCTGACTGTAGTATTAGTAATCCAACAGTAAACAAGGCAAGCATAAAGCAGACAGGACTGCAGTTAGAAATGGTTGGGCAAGTTATAATTGTAAAGTATATATTCAAAAAGGCAGCAACACCAAAGCTCCATAAATGCAAATTTATGCATTTTCAAGCACACCTTCCTCAGACAGTGTTCATCACAGTAAGGTGCTTCTTTTCTGGATCACATGATCTCCTAGTATCTCACAACAACAACAAAAAAAATACACATTTATAAATTGTACAACTTAGGTATATTCAAAACAAACAAACCATAATGTTACATCACAAATTAAAGAAAACAGAATATAACAAGGAATTATAACAAAAATTATACAATACAAAAGGATAGCTTAGTTAAAAAACAACAAAAAAGCATGATCGTCATATTAATTTTTATATGAAATATTCGCCGGTGACTAAAGACATTAATAAAGTGCTATTAAAACACTGGCATATTATTTCAAGTGATCCTACCCTCAAAGAATGTTTTGAAAAATTCACCTTGTTTAGTACACAAAAGAACATCTAACATCCGGAATATGTTGGTTGTAGCTGATCTAGAACATTTATTAAATGCCATGCCACATGGTAATTTTAAATGTAGGAATTGTTTACAATGCAACTTCAGTTACAAAACGTTAACTTTTACACATCCCCATACAGCAAAAAAAAGGAAAAAAAGCGAGGCACTATTTTGTGCAAGACCGCAAGAGAATCTAGATGTTGCAGTGCCCATGTGGTTTATGTTCCCTTGGTAAGACGAGTAGGCCTTTAAAAATTCGCATCTTATTAAATTGCTGTTACAACCTGAAGCCTTTTGCATTTTCACTCTAGATACATTGTCACTAAGAGGTTTAAATGAGGGGTTTGACATTCGTCCTTTATAATAATTCTTTAATGTTTAATTAGGTGTTTGGGTACAGGTTTTTGGCTATATTTTGTTGTATGTTTTTTGTTTTATTTCCTTGTTATATTCTCTTTTCTTTAATTTGTGATTATTGTTTGTTTCTGTATTTTAATTTTGAATACCTAAGTTGTCATTTTTTCTTGTTTTGAGATAATGGGAGATCATGTGATCCGGAAGTGTATAAAAAGGAGCACCTTACTGTGATGAACACTGTCTGATGAAGAGCCGTGTGCTCAAAACATTAGACGCTTTGTGTCAGCTGTTTTTAATTGAATACATTTGCATTTTTGGAGCTCTGGTGTTGCTGCCTTTTTGGATTTATAACTTGCACTTTTTGCGTTTTTGACTGAGCACCCAATTCAAAGTGATGTGTGTGCTTTTGTACATTTTTGAAAATGATAATTGTAACAGCAAAGGCAGTATGATGACATCAAGCCACAAACATATGGGCACAATAACATCTGTGGGATGTTTAGAAGGTCATAGTGACAAGACATTTTAATAACTTTAACTTTAATAACTGTTGTAACAATTCATATCCTAATTTTTTGTATATTTCATCCTGACAATATTTAATCAAGGCAGCATGGTGGCTCAGGGGTTAACACTGTTACCTCACAGCAAGAAGGTCACTGGTTCAAGTCCCGGCTGGGTCAATTGGCATTTCTGTGTGGAGTTTGCATGTTCTCCTTGTTCGCGTGGTTTTCTCCGGGTGCTCTGGTTTATGCATGTGCTATAAGTGAATTGAATAAACTAAATTGGCCATAGTGTATGGGTGTTTCACAGTACTGGGTTGCAGCTGGAAGGGCATCTGCTGTGTAAAACATATGCTGGATAAGTTGGCGGTTCATTCCACTGTGCCGACCCCTGATAAAAAGGGACTAAGCCGAAGGAAAAATTAATGAATGAATTGATATTTGATTATTTATTTATTTCTTATTTTATTCCAGCTATCAGTTTCTTTAAAGGAAACTATGATGTTGTGTTATTGGTCATCTTGCTTAACTGCGTATGTGTTTGCTTGTTTGTTTGTGTAGTATGGAAGATTTCTATCCTAGTAAAAACCACGGCCCTGACTCAGGTATTGGCAGTGACAATGGTGACAAAAGACTGTCGACTACAGAGGTAAACACACACAAAGTACCACGTTATTTTTTTTATATCTCAGAATGTGCATGGCCATTTGTAAATCTTTTGTGATTGTGAATTTTTGTTAAATGTAACCTACTTCCAATTAGCTTTGTGAATTAAAGGTGCTACTGTATATAAATTCACCTGCCTCATCTTGAAAGCGAACAAGGTTTCTTGTGTGATTCAATTTTATTGTTTTAGCTGCTTTATATTATGAGTCAAAGATGAAACCAGATTTTCATGCATCAAATCAATGAAAGTAATGACAAAGTGTTATTTTTGTGCATCATTTATTCATTTGTCAAAAACAATGATTGATCATGATTTACAATAGACAACTTTCTGAAATTGTAACAATAGTTTAATAACAAGTCTTCTCAAGATTTATAGCTCATAAAATTTAGAAATTACCATTATTAGCACTATGAAACATTGATTTTATATCTGACTTTTATTTTGATATATTTTTTAAATAATGTATTTCTTTGTTAGGAAGCTAAATTTTAAAAGAAACATAATACAGGTGCTGGTATACTTAATCAAATTAAAAAACATTTATTTTATATTTGAAAGTTAGGGTTAAGAAATAATTTAATTGTAAGTTCAATAAAATAAACAGAATGTAATACATGTATAAAATGCCAGAACCCAAACAAAAACAACTAGGATCCTATAAGTGCCTTCTTTAATGTGCAACCTCCAGTTTTGCAAGATCATCATGTTTGACACAGTGGATAGAGCTTTAGTAATTAATGTAAATTTGGTAAAATCAGGGATCTTTTTTTTTGTTGCAAATAAAAATAATTTGCACAATATATGGTTTAATATATAACAACCTCGGAATTTGCCTCAATCATGTCTACTCTGCAAGTTCAAATAATTGAACTCAATTTTTACTAAAAAGATGCGATGCAACAAGATTCTAACAGCAAGTAATTTATCTGTCGACACATCAAAACACTTAAATACCAGTCATTCATTTAAATATCAGCCACTGCACTGTAGGGAACACAATGGTAAGGGTTATAATCTAATGAATACATATAAAAACAATTTAACTTTATTAAACAGACTGTTGTACTAGCAGTACTGATGTTGACATTGAGTCACTGATTTTCATTTTCAAATCTGAGGTACACTATCTGCTGCTGCTATCAGTAGTATGGCAATAAATGTAATGGACAATTGTGATCAAACTCTCATTGATAGCTTTTAACACTGAATATAGCACATAATCAGTACCTGAGGTGATCATTGTCTTTGTAGTTTATGCTGTTTTGCTGCGACATTGCGGAAAAAGAAACTTTGAAAATGTGCACGTCGCAATTAGTTTCAACATGAAAAGATAACATTTATTGTGGCATGTGTGTAGATAGAACACAGTGTACTGACTTTTCTTTCTTTCCACTCAACCTCTTAAAAACCTGCATATTAATAGCATCTCCTTGATGACAGAATATTTTATATACAAAGTGAGAGGGGACTGAATTGGGAATAAGTTAATTTCTTTGCATTTCTATCCAAATCAAACAATTCATGACCACCACCAGGGGTGACACCTTGCAACACTGCATGGAAGAAGGTATACTGTACCTTAAGTAAACTTTTTAGGGTATAGATCGGTAAACACACATAGAAATGGTATTCCTTTAGTTAACATGTACATGTACAGTCTTCGTAGCCTACTAAGTGACAATGTTATAGTGAAACACAGCCCAGAACATCAGACAATTTGGGAGCAGACATCATGGTTTTATTCATACAATCGGATAATGCCTATGTAATGCAGAAAAAAAATCTGATTCCTTTGTATGTCAGAAAAAAAATGTAAAAAGGGTATTTTTTGCGAATAGAATTGCTAAAAAGACGTTTACCATTAAAGGATTGAATGTAATGGTCAATCTGTGATGATTAGCCTACTATTATGCTTGAAACTAAATGTAAAAAATAAAACACTATTCACAATATCACTATGTAGTTTTTTCTTACATTATTTAATCCTATACACACACACACACACACACACACACACACATATATATATATATATATAATTTTTTTTTTTTACATAAAGTAGACTAAATTTAGTAGCTAGATTATTTTAGAAAAGCAGTTCATACTTATGTACAGAGTGCTGCTGGTATGTTGTTGGTTGAGATGTTGATAATAGCCAATGGCATCTGTTTTTGCTGCTGCATCAGTAAAAACAGCAGAAACTGTGACATTACATCAGTCTGTAACACACAAAAGTCATTCAAAAACTGCCATGCCATATTATGAACATGACTGCAAAGCACTAAATAAATTGAGAGTTTTTTTAGCCATTTAGTGGGATACTTAACCTGTACATCTTACACAAAGTTTTTGACAACTCAATACAAACTGTCACTCTTTTTTCACAAGGAAGTCTTCGCTCACAGAACAAAACAGGCATTCATCAAACTAAAACCTAGTGTGACTAATGAAATGAAAGTCTTGCACATTCACAGAAAAGATCTAATTTCCGCATTGCAAAATAAGGTGGATAGTACAACGAAGATCTGTAAATACAAAGAATACTGTTTTTCACTTGATGAAAAAAGATACCACACGTTAGCACAAAAGCTCTTGAATAGTTGAGCTGGAAACACCAGTTGAGCATGACGAAAGATAATCTAGTAGGATGATCGAAGAATTTTGTTGTGGGAGTAAAACAACTGTCAATAATGTAAAGAGTTTTCCAGCAGGTGTGTCTTACAAAACAGACAAAAAAAATCTTGTGTTTTCTCTTTCTCCTGTTCCGCAGCCATCTGATGATGACACCATGAGTCTCCACTCTCAAGTGTCAGAAACGGCGCGGGCTGACGCACACATTCTGCTCACAAAGCTTGACTCAAACAAAGGTGTGTTTTCAGCATTAGTATTATTAACCATAAATAATTTTTCATAAAAGATGTTTTGTTGTGTTGTGTACCATAGTAATAACTTCATAATAGAAACTATACATTGAAACTAGACAAACAGATCTGTGTCAAACAGATACATGTGTCATACCTATGTCAGTGTACAGATTTATGTCCTGATATGACACAAAAACACATACACACACACACACACACACACACACACACACACACACACACACACACACACACACACACACACACACACACACACACACACACACACACACACACACACACACACACACACATATATGCACACAGTTAGGTCTATAAATATTTGGACATCAACACAATCGCAACATTTTTAGCTCTATACAACAGCACAATGGATTTGAAATGAAGCAAACATTAAGTGCTTTAACTGCAGACTGTCAACTTTACTTTGAGTATCCAAATCAGGTGAACGGTGTATAAATTGCAACAGTTATATGTGCATATGTGTCTCTCACTTGTTAAGGGTCCAAAAGTAATTGGACAATTGGCTTCTAAACTGTTCCATGGTCAGGTGTGTGTTATTCCCTCATTATCCCGATTACAATGAGCAGATAAAAGGCCCAGAGTTTCAAGCGTGCTATTTGCATTTGGAATCTGTTACTGTCAACCCTTAAGATGAGATCCAATCAGTCAAGAAAGCCATCATAAAGCAAAAAATAAAATAAAAAATAAAATAAGAGAGATAGCAAAAACATCAGGCATGGCCAAAACAACTGTTTGGAACATTCTTAAAAAGAAAGAAAGAATGCACCAGTGAGCTCAGCAACATCAAAAGACCCGGAGGACCATTAAAACAATTGTGGTGAACGACTGAAGAATTCTTTCCCGGGAAAAACACCTTTCACAACAGTTGGCTAGATCAAGAACACTCTCTAGGAGGTACTGTAGGTGTGTGTGTGTGTCAGACTCAACAATCAAGAAAAGACTTTAGCAGAGTGAATAGAGAGGGTTCACCACAAGATGTAAACCAATGGTGAGCTTCAAAAACAGGAAGGCCCGTTTAGAGTTCTAAAAAAGCCTCCACCGTGCTGAAACAACATCCTATGATGAGATCAAGATCAACATTTACCAGAGTGATGGAAAGAGAAAAGTATGGAGATGGAAAGGAACTGCTCATGATCCTAAGTAGTGAAGCATGGTGGTAGTAGTGACATGGCGTGGCCATGTATGGCTGTCAATGGAACTGGTTCTGTTGTATTTATCGATGACGTGACTGCTGACAAAAGCAGCAGGATGAATTCTGTTTCAGGCAATATTTTCTGCTCATATTAAGCCAAATGCTTCAGAACTCATTGGACAGTGTTTCACAGTGCAGATGAAGAAATAACCCAAAGCATATTGCAAAAGCAACCAAAGAGTTTTTGTAGGGAAAGAAGTGCAATGTTATGCAAGGCAGAGTCAATCACCTGAGCTTTAAACATGCATTTCACTTGCTGAAGACAAAAAAAAGAGAAGGGAAAATGTCCAAGAACAAGCAGGAACTGAAGACAGTTGCTGTAGAGGTCTGGCAGAGCACCATCAGGAATGAAACCCAGCATCTGGTGATGTCTATGTTTTCCAGACTTCTGGCTGAAATTGACTGCAAAGGGTTTGCAACCAAGTATTAAAAAGTGAAGATCTGATTGATGATTGTTATTCTGTCCAATTACCTTTGGACCCTTAATAAGTGTGAGCCATATATGCAAATTGTAATTCCTACAGCGTTCACCTGATTTGGAGTAAATACTCTCAAATTAAAGCTCTAAGTCTGCAGTTAAATCACATCTTGTTTATTTAATTTCAAATTCATTGTGTTGGTGTAAAGAGCTAAACTTGTTAGAACTGTCTCAATGTCCGAATATTAATGGACATTACTGTAGATATTTACAATTAACATTTTTTTATTCAGACAGATGTATTTTTACTTTGTAGCTTACCTTTGCCTCACTTAAAGCTAACCTTTAAAATATAAACAATATAACTGCACTGTTTCTTTAACCTTTATGCAGCATTAAAGGTTATGGCCTACACACTTTTCTGACAATTTATTTGATACACCTTGTTAGTAAGGGGTTGGAGCCTATTTTGTTTTCAGAACCGCCTTACTTCTCTGTTGCAAGATTCAACAATGTCCTCAGTGATATGACACATACTGACATAACAGCATTACGCAGATGTATGTGGGATTTGATGACTGCACGTCAGTGATGCGTACTGTTTCACCACAAGCTAAAGATTGAGATCTGGTGATTGTGGAGGACATTTAAGTATAGTGAACTTTTTGAGAAACTTGTTTAAGATGATTTGAGCTTCGTGACATTGCATGTTATCCTGCTGGTTAGCTGGTAGCTATCACATCACAGCCATAGGCGCAGCTTGTCATTTGAGCTAGGGGCAGCCAGAGGAACCAGTTTAAGCTATTTAATTAAAAAAACAACAACTCTTGGATTCTTAAACCATTTATTTATTCAATTTCTTTTCGGCTTAGTATCTTTATTAATTAGGGGTCACCACAGCAGAATGAACCGCCAACTTATCCAGCATATGTTTTACCCAGCGGAAGACCTTCCAACACTGGGAAACACCAATACTCTCTTGCATTCACACACATGTACTACAGCCAACTTAGCTTATTCAATCCACCTATAGCGCATGTCTTTGGACTGTGGGGGAAACCAGAGCACCCAGGAAACACATGCAAACATGGGGAGAACATGCAAACTCCACACAGAAATGCCAACTGACCCAGCCAGGGCTCGAACCAGCGACCAATACACTTACCTGGATATTTAAAACTAGCTTGAATGACTGATTTAGTTTGATCAGGTGTGTTTACTTAGGGGTTAAAGCTAAACCGTGCAGAGCTGTGGCCCTCGAGGAACTGGGTTTGACATTTGTGGTTTAAATGATGCATAACTGGGGCCCAAATATAACAAAAAAATCCCCCACATCAGCAACCTGAACCATTTGAATGTCATTTGGATGAGACGTCTTTAAAACGTAGTTGTTAAAACTCTGGTCATGAATAATTTCATGGCTGTAACTCTGGTGTCCTACACTCTCAGAAATAAAGGTCTGTTACTGGAGCAGTGCCTTTTCAAAAGGTACATTTTTGATCATAATAGGTCCTTAAAGGTATTATACTATCCATTTATAATACAGTGATCAGCATATATAAGTACACCCCTCACTAATGTATCTTTTAAATTCATATTTTTAATAGGAAGCCATACAATATTTTAGTTATGCATATATGTTATATTAGTCAGTATTGAAGCCAAACCTGGAGCTTATCTAACAAAATAACTTATGATAGCGGTCCAAAAACTAGTACACCCAAATTTATATGTTATAGAAAAATTTAAAATACAAATAAAAAAAGAGGAAAAATCAAGAGAAGAAAAAAATGGAAATATTTAGTTGAGATTTTGTTGGTTGTATTTTTTTTTTTTGCAATTTTTTGCTTGAATTTAATTGTTTTATCTTTCCATTTCTAAATGTGTTTGGTGACAAAAATATTATTTCAATAAATATATCTGTTTAATAAATCTGTTTTGTTTAAATGCACCAAAATACATTGCCTAAAATCACTGAGACATTGATAAAAAAATATTTATTTTCAAAATAGGGTGTACTCAATAATGCTGAACATTGTTCCTGTTAATACATATTAATACCTAAAAAGTACATATTAATATCTATTTATTAATAACTGCTTTTTTTTCTAGCCAAAATAAAACAAATAAGACTTTCTCCAGAAGAAAAAAATATTATCAGACATACTGTGAAAATTTCATTGCTCTGGTAAAAATCATTTGGGAAATATTTAAAAAAGAAAATCAAAATCAAAAGGGGGCTAATAATTCTTACTTCAACTGTATATTTTTGATAACTAGCAGAGTGTCAGGTTTATGTAATTCACCACTTTGCAGATACTTGATTGTTGAAGCCACCACAACTTCCTGGCATTAAATAGCATTATAATAGCCAGTAATTGTTAGTTGTCAAGTGAAAAGTTCAAAGACATCAGCAAATTATGCAAAACCGCAAAAGCAATCTTTGGTTTTCTTTTTTTTTTTTTTTTGATGTGACATTTTTTTCGGTGAGTTTTATTTTACCTATGATTGACGCTGCAACTGATAATTACAGTTATAACATTTACTGACATGCTAATCCTATACAAAGTCTACACTCCCAGCAATCTCACAAAATGCAAAACAAAGCCATTTTCTCTTCTCAAGAAGTGTAGCATCTTACATAGCCGGTGTGTCTAGTAGGCAATTAAAATATCATTTTACAAGAATAAAACCGCCTTGTCTCAATAAGATCTCATTGTGTGCAGATCAGGACCCGTATGACTTTATTGACCCCAATCCAGATGAAGAGGGCACTTTGTCTGAGGGCGATCTACAGCACAATGCACCTTATGTGTCATGTATAAAGGTATGTATAAACACATAGACCCTTATCTACATCCTATCTTTACTGTTTTTTTTGTCATGCGAAGCAATCCCCCACCTGAATCCATAGTTACTAAAACACAAAACCAGCCTGTAAAAGATCTTCCCATCTCTCCTTCACAGGAGCTGGAGCGGGTCCTGAAAACACACCAAAGCAAAGACAAAGAGAACTGGAAAGAGGAGTCAGGGTAAGTCCATGATGTGAGATATTATGCAGGAATTTCCCACAATTTGCACAAATACTTCATCCCACCACCTTTAGATTACTTCTATTATCATCAATGACCTTGGTTATACATACTACAAGTTAAAAACGAGTGTTTACTTACTCTTTCTTTAAAAGTACTGTTTTAAAAGGACAATGAATTGCCATCTTCAATACTGAATCTTAAAGGTAACTCGTTATGGTCATTTTTACAAGATGTGAAGTTCCTATGTCCCTAGAGTGTGTATGTAAAGTTTCGGCTCAAAATAATTTTTATAAATCTTTGAAACTGCCCCTTTGAGGCTTTGTTCTAAATTTTGTTGTTTTTCTGACTATCACTTCAAATTTTAATGAGATTGTCCTCTCAGCCCTCTTTTCAGAAGGGGATGGAGCTATAAACGCCTATGTGTCAACATAGTGGCAGATTCAAAACTCTAATGGTGGACAGTTGCTTTTCACTCAGGGCTGTTTACGCTAATGAGGGTAATGATTGCTAATGATTGTCACTAATGGGTGAGACTTTCCCTTTCTGATGACATGTACAAAGGGAGAATGTCAAACAGCGTGTTTTTACAGAATGTTTTTATGAAGTATGATAATTAAAATAGAATCAATTAATTGTTAGCATTAGAGGCTGGCTATACTGTAATTACACACTGTTCCCCCACAACCGTGTATATGCACCTTATAAAAGTGATTTTTCCATAATAGGTTCCCATTTAAAAACCAGTTTAACTGCATTGTGAAGGGCTAGAAAAGCGTTTAAATTAGAGAAATTAGAGAAAGTGATGTCAATAAAGAAGACAGTATATTATTCAACATAAGCTTATTCTGAAAACGTAGCCCTATATACGTTTCTGGAGATTGAGAATTATGTAGCCAGAAGTATGTATGGCTGCATTTCGTCTTTAAAATGAATGCTATAGGGAGGTATGACTGCGTTGCTTTTTGCGCTTTACCAGCTGACCGCGTATGTATGGACAGCTTTCCCGCTGTTACCAGTTTATCCTGTTAGCTCGCCATGTATGTTGGTGGTCTTGAGAAGCAGACAGGAGTTGACCACAACAATGGGGTTCGAGTGTGGTGAAGAACGGTTCCAGAAAGCATGTAAAACAAGCCAAAAAATAAAATAAACAAGTAAATAACAGGGTGAGCATGTGATAAAATCTAAACGTGTGGGGAAAAGCCCTTGTCTGTTTTTTTTTTTGCATTGCTTTTGAAAATTGTTGGTTGGGCTCAGGGAAGTGGCTGGGTGGGACAATCAATGCAATTGGTTGGGTTTAGGGAAGGAGGAGGGTGGGTTAGTCGATCGGTCAGTCATTCAGTCAGTCAAACACTTAGTTGACAGCAGCGTCTGATGGGTTTACGTTAGAACAGCAGGGGTTAGTAGCAGACTCGCACTCGCGAGTCTCAAAAAAGCGTACACAGCGTCCTCTGGTGGGTTTACGCGAGAATAGGAGGTGTGAATGGCACTCATGAGAGAAATTTGAGATCTCCAAAAAATCATACACATAAGTGGATTCACAAAAAATAAAAACTGTAAAAAAGCATAGCTCCTGGGACGTATTTTGCACTCTCCAGAAATGTATATTGAGGTACTTTTTCAGAATGAGCCTGGCATAATGTTATTTAATTCATAAGAAGACCATAAAACAAATCCATATGAATAAATCCAACCATTCTTCCATCCTTTTGAATGAGACAATTAACCAAGGTCTTGGCATTCTGCGTTTTTAATGAAGTATATATCAAACTGTATGGGGAGGTTCAACAAATGCTAAAAATAAATGTTTACATATTACTTTCGAAAATCACCATCACAATATATATATATATATATATATTATGTCATGACTGTCTGTGTCTACCAGATTCCACTGTAGTTCGCCAGTAACTCCCTGCGAACTACAGTGGTGAAAGAACTACATATCCATACATTCCTTCGAGCACACACACAGTCTTTCATATATACTGATTTGCAATCAAAGCTGTCTCTGTTCACCGTTGATTTCCTGGACTATATACTCAGTCATTTAACCTCTGTTTGTTAGTTCATCGTTCGTACTTGTTGGTATATGTTCTTGAATCCAGTTTAGTATCCTGTCCTAGTTGCTGAGTCTAGTTAAAGGTAATCTGTTTAGTTCCTTGTTTGTTTGTTTATTTGATACTTTGTCACTTTGATTTTTTTGGATTTTTGTTCTCTGTCACTGCACAATACAACATTAAACTGCACTTGGATCCTACACCCGTTTTTGTTCCTGTTTCATTCCGCCAAACGTGACAATTTATATATATATATAAAATGAGATCAATCTCGGTAAGCAGACGTAAGGATCTAATTGCAGTTTAATTCGATTATTCAAGCAGACGAAAACGGTCAATGAATGAAACAGAAATGGCTGGTACACAAGGACAATCCAGATCGAAGTCAAAAAAACAGGCATAAGGTCAAAAAAGGTGACAAAACAGAATCAAACAATAAACAAGGCTAAGGTCAATAACAAATAGGCAAAACAAAGAAATGCACATCAAAGACTCCATGCTAAACTGGTGTATGTGTGGTTTATAAATAGTCTGAATGATGTGTGCGTCTCATCACCGGTTATCGGCAACTAGTGTGTGTGACATGGCCTGATAAGCTTTGTAGTTCCTTCACAAGCCGTGTAGTTCACCAGCGATCTGTCAGGAGTGGATCGCTGTTAAACGTGACAGATACATTTTTATTTTATAAATTATTAAAATATTGGTGTCTGTGATACAGCAAGTTCAGTGATTGTTTTCTACACCATGATTTTATATAAAATCCACTTTAATGTGTGATTAAAAAAGTGAAGTGAAGTGAAAATATTCATTTATGACCACTAAAAAGTGGTCATAAATGAATATTTTCTCAATTCAATTGTGTAGCAGCTCGAACCCAGAAACAGTATTCAATACATCATGACTTAACTAGCGGATTGGCACTTCTTGCAAAGTGTGTACACCCAGTGTGCTGGCCAAATTTTCTCATTCTGGACCCTATCATGATCACCTAATCTCATCCTGTCGGTTAGCTCTATCACAGTGGTACCATTGTGTATAAACACACGTGGACGATGATGATTGTTTCTTTGCCTGATTTATTTTAATCCAAATACATGCTGAAATAACAATACCATAATAATATAAAGCAGACCAGACAAATAACTGGGGAAACTGAGGGATTTGCATTCAAGATAAACTGAAAAGGAACACCTGTTGATTATTGAATGAGTGGTGAGAAACAGAATGGGAACACACCATACAGGGCAGACACGTGACAGTATCAACATTGATCCGCAAACATAAACAGAAGCTCAATCATTGTGCCGTGACAAACCTCAATACATCTTGTTGAAGGTTAAAAGAGCTGCTTAAGACGTACAAATAAACAGCATTCGGCACTGATCAATGTTTATACGAGAATTAAAGTCAAAAGCGATTTTGATTTTCGGTAGACTTGGAATAAACTCTGCAGTTCGTCTAGAAGAAATCTTGTGAACTTTTTTAAGGATCTCAGCTTTCAAGAAGGTGGACAAAAAATTTGATTTGATTAAATTTTTTTTCATCTGAAGGTAAACCGATATCTTATGGGCTTATAATTACTTGAAGGTGAGTAAATAATTACAATTTCAAGAGTTCACACTTAGCTGATTATGCTTGTTTGGCATGCTGTCCTGGAAGAGAGAGCACTGGGCTCAAAAGAAGTTGAGCCCTGGACTCCTTCCTGTTTGCAGGGCGAGAGGGGAGATTGAGCTCAGGTGGATCTCAAGAACTCGCCTGCTTATTTGATAATTTTCGGATCAGCAAAAAAGGAAGGAGACAAATATCATTTGCTTTCCATTTATTCAAAAATATTACTGCAAAAACCATTAGCTTAAACAAACAGAACTTAGAACCTGCAATTTTTGTAAAAATAAAAGTCAAGAAAGAACCTGAAAAAAGCTGAAAAAAATATTCATTACGAAAAATTATAATGCTAAGTATAGAAATTTAACATCTTGTACACCATATCATATTTATCTTTAAACAATGATTCAACAATTCACACAAAACTTCACATTTCATTATAGGTGTATTATTTTTGAAAACCTATTCAACCTATGGTTGTTTGTCACCACCCATGGGTTACACTATACAATAGCTTTCACCAGCATCAAAAATTCACCAGCGTCAAGTGCATTAAATGGGGATTTTAATCTTTACCATAAACATCAGTGTTTATATCTGAAGTATAAACTGTTCTCCCAGTACTTCTGTGTTATTTAATTGTTTGTAACTAACTGAAAAAGTGTAAAAACTGAATCTCTCTTGATTAAAAGCAGATTTGAATGCAGTACTTATAAGGATTAATAAACATAACTAAATCATTATCATTTATCATTCATTTTGCGCGGGTTTGAATTGAGATCACAATCTTTTAATGTTCAATTGTGCAGCTTTACACTGAACAAATTAATGCAGGCTAAACAAACAGTGACCGAAAAAAAAAACTTTAATTAATAACCTAATTTCAAGAGTTCACACTTAGATATTGTTTGACAAATGTTAGCAGGTTTGGCATGCTGTCCTGGGAGAGAACCCTGAGCTTGGAGATAATTGAGCCCAGGGCTCCCGCCTGGTTGATTGAGCATGTAAGGGGAGTACGAGATCAGGTAGTTTCTGAGAGCTCTCCATGGTAAAGGAAGAAAGGGGAAGAAGGGGTGGATGGGGGGTTTCTTAGGAAAATGAAGAAAAGGGAGTCATTTTTTGCTAGGCTACTTATAGTGAGTTTGGATTAATCTAATTGGCTAACCAATGACTGTAGATGAGAGACCAGCTGTGGTCAATCATATCAGGTGCTCCTTTTGAAAATATTTTGTGAAACTTCACTAAATATTTAGGTCCCACCACAACTTTTCCGTCATCATTATACTTTACAGTGACGCCAAAATGCTTTCATACACGGGATTTGAATGACGCGCG